CTCAAACTGAGGGGTATGGCTGGTCTCGCTCAAAGTGCTCACGATTATCTACTGTGTTTGTTATCCGTATGTCCGGTCTCGCTCGCATTCTTCTGTTATTCCATGGATGATTGGTGCCTCCGTTAGTATCTCGTGAGCCTCATGTCATGCTCACTTACCTGATGTGTAAGATGGTCCCGACAGCCCTCATACCTTTGATTCATCTGGCATCGCCCAATGCACTCTGAAAAGCAGATTCAGATTGCACTGTGTACAGCCACTGTTGCTTGCTTGGCTATCTACTGCACACCAGTATCCAATGTTCTGCCTTAAACAGATCTTCAAGATATGAGTCGAAATGCAGAGATGATGTGCGGCGGATGCAAAGGGTGAAGGGGGGGGGGGCATTGTCCATGAGTTCGCTCGTGGTCACCTATCGTGCAACAAGGCTTCCGAAAACTATGTCATGCCATCTACTCATTCATCCATGACCATAGGGTTCAACTTGACCTTCCGTCTGGCTCGTGTCCATACTCATATGTGACAAACGTCCTTTGCGCAAAAGGGGGGAGAAATGCTCAGCAGACACAGCGAAAGCATTTCATGTTAAAGCTCTGGAACAAATGTTCGATTTGCTCGTACAAAGTTCTGATGAAGAGCACACTCATGTTTGCAGCTTTTTCAATTCTTGGCCTCTCAAACAGGCTCAAGAAGCTACTAGAAGGATATAAGGAGGACGCTCCTCGAACGCAGAGCATGATGAAGCAATATCAGTGTTGCAGTATTAGTAAAGGTGGTATTCCCTGACAATGTTCAGATGTTTGCTTTATGACATCACATGACTTGCATGTTGGAGAGTTCCACAAACAAACGAGAATGAAAATATGTGGAGATAAGCAAACAGAGTGTTGTAAAAATCTAACGATAAGTATGCCTGGTCAACTATGTGTGCTCAAGTATGCCTGGTCTAGCTTTCAACGTAACTAACAAAAGATATCTAATACTTCTCGGTATTCCAAATGGAGTCTTAGCGTATCGCCTAAAGTTCTTTGCCACACATCGAGTACTGCCCCATGTACAAACCATGTCAGAATGTCCACTCTGCTTGGCAATTCAGCCACAGACAAAGGTGCTTCGAACTGTGTCATCAGGGATATACGCGAGCGTGACCTGCGCCCTGCTTGCTACCTTGCTGACTTGTTCGTTGAACACCTCAAGCTGCAGGTGAGACTTCATGTAGTTGCAGTCTCCACAAGCTGCCTTGGTGTTGAGAAGAGTGTAGCCCTGCTTGTTGTCGATCCTGTCAACCCCGTTGGTATGCACACCCTCGATGTTCTTCTTCCCGCAGATGTAGCACGGCTGTTGGACGATGTCTTTGAACTGGTCGACAGAGAGCTCGAAGGGACGCCTGCGCTCTTTGGCGACCGCTCTGTACACTGCAAACTGCCCTGCCCGGTGGTGGTTCCCAAACAGCTCAGGCGGTTGCGGTTGCAGGATTGCGGAAGCGCGAGCAGGAGCAGGCTCGCCGCAGGGAGGAGGCCAAGAAGGCTGAGGCAGCAGGGAAGCGGACCTGCAGCCGGCATGGCAGCGTGACCCGTGGGTGCTGGGTAGTGCTCCCCAACGGCTACGAAGGCACCACCTGCCAACCCTGCATCAAGCTGCGCGAGGAGTACAGGGCGTACAAGCAGGCGCAGCGCGAGAAGGAGAGGGAGCCAGAGAAACCGGAGGACGAGAGTGCGGAAGGTAACTCTTCCGATTCTGTGATCCTGTTGCATGACAATGCGTGCAACCTACATCTTCAGAGGGGCACTGAGCCTGTCCCTCCTAGGTGGAGGCACGCCAATAGCAGCACGAGTGATCGAAGGTGACCAGGAAAGCTATGGGAGAATCACCCACGCTTCTTGGCCTGATGCCCTTGTGACTTCTGTTCGTTGCTCGGTGGCTGGAGGTATCTTGGGTGGTACTATTGCAGCAGCGTTGCTAGCATTGGAAAGCCTGTGAGCTGAGCTAGAAGCATGCTGATCTTAGCTGAACCTTGGAAAGTTTGTTGTATGCCATAACAGCTCGGGATGCAGAGATACAATCAGGCTATCCTGTTGCGAACTTGAACCACTGGAACTGGAAACGTTTGAGCTACTGGAAACGTTTGAGCTGCTGGACACATTGGAGCTGCTAGAAACGTTTGAACTGCTGGAAACGTTTGAACTGCTGGAAACGTTGGAACCAGTGGACACGTTAGAGTTTGAGGAGGACATCTTGAGTGATACTTTATGAGAGATATATTTTCTGCTTTTGCACGAATGATTCATGCACTGCTCTCTCCTGTTTGCAGAGGGGGAGACAGTGCACAACCCCGAGGAGGCTGAGGACGGGGAGATCGTGGACGAGGAAGAGGCCGCACCGGTCGCAAGAAAGCCCGGCACGTGCCTGGCTATCGTGCGGGCGTCCGGTGCGCCCTGCCCCAACAAGGCAGCTGACAACTCCCAGTA